TTCAAATAGTTATTACTCAACTGGACCGGGATACCAAGAAACATTAAAGTTATGATTATCTGGGAAAGTAGGAAAAAGAAGTTTTAAAGAATTAGTTTGCATGATTAAAAGGTGTGATTTATTTCCTTTGCATGTGTAGTATACAAATAATGATTATATCTGTGATGTCTAGTATAATATTATAAATAAAACGAAATAATATGCTAATGTATCATTTATCATTTTGCCATGCTACTGAGCCTTCATTATTAAAATATTTACAAAATTCATCTTTAATGAGCATGGCACCCCGAGTACTTGTATTTGTACTACATTTGGAGATGTCCACAAATGCACAACCATCTTCCATAATCGTCCTCCACGAACCTCGTATGTGATCACCCACAGCCGTTTCTTTATCCAACATACCTGGTGGAATATAATTGTTCTTCTCGATATCACTCTTGCGGAGCCAGTTATGAATGCAGATTGTACCTTGTACGATCTTCATAGCAGTTTCCACACTACTAATGATCGGTTTTCGATAAACTCGCCATTGGCTAGCAAGTATTCCGAAACAATTCTCTATCACTCGTCTGGCTCTACTGAGTCTATAATTGAAGATGTGCTGTTCGGCGGACAAGTTATTTTTGCCAGAGTATGGCCTTAGCAAATATGATTTCAATGGAAAGGCTTCATCCCCGACAATGCAGTAAGGCAAAGACGGGCCTCCTTTGTAAAAACTGTCCGATTTTGGGATATTCATTTGACCTGCATTAAGTTGTTGACCGAATCGGCTTTCACGAAAAATGCCTCCATCACTTCGCCTGCCATACGCACCAATATCGACGAACCGGAAAATATAATTGGCATCACAAATAGCTAATAGCACAATGCTATGACTGTTTTTATAGTTGTAGAAATTGGAGCCAGCATTATCCGGACACTGAAATTACACAAAGATTATTATATATTTTTCACATACTGCAAGAAAATTGGAGTCTGCTCGTATTGTTTTTTCTATTTATTTCCCGATAGTTTTTAATATTTGAATAATGCCTGAAAAGAATTATAATACAAGTATTACTTACTTGAATGGTTACATGCTTTCCATCGATTGCTCCAATGCAATGTGGAAAGTCCCATATATCTTCAAAATCTTCTGCGATGCTCCGCCAGTCATCTTCGAATAACTGAGGTGGAAGAACCAAAGGACACAAATGTTCCCAAATAATCTTGCATGTTGTAGCAATAATATTGCTTACAGTCGTCAAGCCTACTAAATATTGATATGTCATTGAAGACATGGAATCACCAGCTGCCAGAAATCTGAAACGTAATGCAAATTGATGTAATGCAACATTTACATTCATATAACTAAAATAAAAACAAAAGATGTTTACCGTAATGTCAACGTCAATCGTTCTGCTGCACTTATCGGCTCTCGCACGACGTATTGTTTCTCTAGATGCGGGCCTACAATGGCTAACAACTCTTCGTATTGCGTGGTTGACATCCGAAAATAATTATGGAACCGCAGATCTTCCAATTTAAGTGTTGGCAGCAAGGCATGGTAAAAACCATGCTCACAGCGTTTTTAAAAATTGGAGCAACCCAGAAACGCTTCTTTTTGTTGATCCGTCTGTTTTTTGCAGCTAATAACATAGCTAATGATCCGAGCAACTTGTCACGTCGGTCTGCTTCTACATTCTGTTCCTGACTGCACTGCATTGACCACTCATAAATTTTCATTTTTGCAGACATGATATATTGATTATTTAAACTGATAACTGAGATACTGAGGAATTGAGGTTATATTGTTTCGCGACAAACGCGATGACGCCGAATTCGCGCGGCAGACGCGGCAAGCGGCATCAGTTTCAGAAGCCCCTAGATCTAGTTCTTTCTGAACTGCCGCGCGCGGCAACTTGCCGCGTCCATCAGGGGATTTATTGTCTATTTGTGTCGATTTTTCTCACTTTTCGCATTCATTTCACGTGAAGAAATACACGCGATTGGCTATGAGCAAGATGAAAATACGATATCTCTAGATTCACGGGAGCACAAACCATAGTGAACATTCCGGTAAAGTGTATATGCATGCATATATGTTTCAGTGATACCTTTATCTTTATAACCTCTGCAGTTTGAACGGTGTGAATAAGAATGAATGTTACAGAGAAACAAAAAAAATTATGTTAAATTTTATGAATAACATTCGGATTTCGGTCGGGGGCGGATACATTTTTGAACATGCTTGAAAAATTGACGCGACATGTTATGAGAATTGATAAAAATAATACATTAATAAAAAATAGTGTTTAAAAATCTTTTATTATAAAGTTAAGAAATGTACTGTGATAATCTTAATTATTAATTTATTATAAGATATGAAATGTACTAATTTTATGCGATACAATTTATGTGATAAATATATATATCAATATATTATATATATATAAATATATATATATATATATATAAATATATATATATATATATATTATATATATATATATATATATATATAAATATATATCCTATTCAAAATACCATCGCACAATATTTCTTAATTCGTACTTCTTCTGCTTGCATTATATTTATATCATTAAATGGTATCGGTACTTCTCCTTTTTCCTCCAAATATACTTCATTTAATGGAATTCTCCATTTATAAGCAATATTATGTAAAACACAACATGCATTTACAATTAGAGCTGTAAAGAATAGATTTAAAAAATACCTTTTCTTATCTCAATTATGCACTATAATTATTTACATACCAGCAAATTCTGGTGTATAATGTAATGTCCTCTCTTTTAATATGTATTTTAATACGTATTTTAATCGCGCTCTACTCTACATAACATATAATGCAGTAGGATATACGACACATTTTGACATTATTCGACACAATAATTCTTGTCGAATAATCTCACGTGAAATATTCGTGTTTTCACTATAGTGAAAATTAGCCAATCAACTGAATGCTCACTTTTGTCATTTTCACTAGCTTTTGAGATACACAATCGACCCCCAGTAGGCACCTTAAGGCAGAGAGAAAGATGAGAGCGGCCAGGCCGGCGTTTTGGCTGTTACCGTTTTTACGGGACTGCTTGAAGCGCCCCTCGCACCCGTTTTTAATATCGGAACTAACTGCACACCCATTTTCTGGCAGGGTCGATAAAGTTTGTATTTGGTGCGAGTCCGTGCTACGCCCATAATTTTCGTGTTAACACAGTATCACGTATTCATTCTGTATATGTGCGATCTTTTTTCTTTATATATATATATATATATATATATATATATATATATATATGTATTTATATAATTTGTATAAAAACTAAAATATAATTATTAATATATATATATATATATATATATGTATATGTGTAATGAAATATATAAATCTTATTTTAATTAAAATAAAAAGAACGATTAATTGTTCGACCACCTGGATTTTGGAATGTAATTTTTAATATATATTATATTATATTTAATATTTATCGCCGCTTCTATTAATATGAAGTGCAATGTCAACGTGCAATAATGTACAATTATTTAAAGTTTCCATGCCTAATGTATCATGCCGGTATAAAAGAACGTCAAGTAGCATGCGTAGCCGAGCAACTAAGATGACGAGCTGAAATCGTGGACATTTCAAGTTCAAACCCCTGCCTTTTTCAGATTTTTTTTTCACTTTTTTCAAATAAGTTATTATGTGTATAAATGTGTAATAATCAATATATCATTATTTGATAATTTTTTTTGTAATGGAACAAAATAAATTATTTTTTAATTCTGCAAGGAATTTAATTATTAATGCAAACGCCCACACACATAATTTAGATATTCAATTTTTTTTAGTTCAAATGTTTCTTGCAATCTGTATACGACAATCAGTCCACTCGCTGTGCCACAGATTGCATCGCATAATACGCTCAGAGTTATAATACGATAGAGATCGCTTTACGCTGTTTTTCCTTGAAATAAATAAATTTTACGTGTTGTGTACGCGTGTTTAGTATATTTGTTTCTTTCATATTAATTTTAACTATAATTAGTTTTTTAATTAAGATTATTTTAGTGTTAGTTGTTTATTTGTTAGTGTCCTGTTTTCTTTAATTTCGCATTTTTTAATTTTCTTTTTTTTTTGGTGTTGGTGCTAATTATTATTTTTATTTTACAATGTCGAGTAAACACCGGTTTTACGATAAATGTGTGTATTTAAATTGCACAAATATTAGGACAAAGATGGAAAACGTTTATTTCGATTTCCATTACAAACGGGTGCGAGACATGATTTATGGTTACGCAATAGTGGTGAGTTTATAAAATTGATTTACTTATTTATATCAATATATAATATATATTGATATGATATATGAAACAAATATATATATATATTCTTTGTTTTTTTTAATAATATATGTCAGATATTATGTATGTTTACGTATGGATTACGTTGAAGTGTTTCTTTGCCGCGTTTTTATGATCTCGCCGAACGGTTCGCGAATCCTGTGCGAATAAAAAACGATGCGCGTGTGTGTGTGCGTGCGATTGTGATGATCAGTTTCAGTTCGTCTTCAACGCTTGACGAGAGAAGAGGTCCCGAACTGCTGTAAGTTTATAAAAACATATTTTTGTATAACACATTAGAACGATTTTATATTATTTTTTTTGTCTAGAAAACGTTATATTAATAACCGTTATGAAAACGATCTCGACGACGGCGACGATGCCGGTGATCCATACGGGCTGTGGTCCTTTTCAAAATTACAATAGAAACATTAATGAGTTACTGCATACGTTATTGACATTTAAAATACGTCCGGTGAGACTTAACAAAAGATCGGATGGTAAATTAACTGCGTTTCACTTGTGTCATCTTCCACGACGTCATCTTGAGTCGTGGCAAGATGACACAAGTGAAACGCAGTTAATTTACCATCCGATCTTAAGTCTCACCGGAGCGTACTTTTAAATTGTCAATAACGATATGCAGTAACTCATTAATG